AAATCATAATTTTAGTGCCCCTCGGTGGCACACGTTATGGGAGAGCGAGCTGTCAAATTGTAAGTTTCATGTCCAAAAGCGAAATGTTTTTTTTTTTACTGTATTAGCAAGATTTTTAATTCGTTTGCTAGTTCATCTTCTATAAAAGCAAAGTGATTATTTTGTTTTAAATCTTGAGTTTAAAATCTAGATGGTAGTCTATGGGATTGAAAAACAAAAATCGTTGTGCTCAGAAATCGCAGCCCTTTCTGACAATGTATAGGGTACCTGGGGCCTCCCTTAGCTCAGTCGACAAAGGCGCAGCTACAAAGCAAGACCATGCTGGAGGTGGCTGGGTTCGATTCCCGGTCTGGTCTAGGAATTGTCCGGGTTGGACAAGTTCTCGACTTCCCTGGGCATAGAGTATGATTTTACTTGCCACACAGTTATACCAATGCAAAAACGGTACCAGGCATCGAAAGCTCTCAATTAATAACTGTGGAAGTGCATCTAGAACACTAAGTTGAGAGTACGCAATAAGCTAATATGCGATAAGCAGTAAGCTTGAAAGCCGAAGAATAAGAAGAATAAGAAGAGGAAGATGAAGAAGAAGAAGAAGAAGAAGAAGAAAGTAACCGATATACTTTTTAAAATTAAAGAACCCAATTGATGTACTGACGCAGCGTCGATGTGAAATCGTAAAGTAGAGCTGTTGGTGGAAAAAAACAATTTGACATTCCTTAAATCTGTCATGTGACGGACGAGCCCCTTCGTCAACGCTAACGTTGACGCAGTATTATGAATCCGGCTTCCTGCTTAGCGGAATAACGAGCGGATCGACGCTTTGTCGATGTGATGTCGCGGTTGTCGCCTATTAAACATGGTGGATAAATGGAATTTGAATACATCTGTCATTTGACGAATTCAACTATCCGTCAATATTTAAGCTGATTCAGCATAGAGTTCTGCTAGAAAGATCTCATTGCTTTTCCAGCGACATCGCTCGTTGGAGGTTTCTTATTGAGGCAGCATCAATCCTTAAAATATGATTGGATTCAAATTTGACGTAGATGCTGCATCAACATCAGCGTTAAGCGGGAGCCGAGCCACAATACAGAGTCATTGTCATCGTTGACGAAGGGGTTGGTCCATAGAGGGAACTCTAAGACTAGTAGGTCCCGAAGAAACGTGCTCAACATTTTGGCTCAGCTCTGGTACTATCTTCGGTCCCAAGCTAATCGATGCACCCCTCGAAACACCCACGAACCCCTCATTTTATCTGTCAAACTTTCATAGCGAATCAAAACAAACATTGTGTAGTACTAGAATTTTGACTATATTGGGAGAATTCGATTGGTACTTGCGGTAGAAGTTTATGGGAACTTCCTGGAGAAAACGGAAGCAAGACGCTTGAAGAAACTTCCTAAGGTAGTTTGGAAGAAACTTCTGGAGAAAGTCAGAAGTCAGAAGGTTTATGTGACAGTCGGAAGAAACTTCTGCTATCAAGGAAGAAAGATTTTTAGGGTTTGTCGAAATAAATTTCCGGTGGAAATCGGTACAATCATTTAGGGAAAGTCATTTGAAATGCTAGCTTCTAGCAAGGGTTGCAAGATAATTTAGGAACAAATCCCTGCTGCCGAATTGTATTTTGTTTTCTCCACCTATGTCTCCCTCTGAGTATTTCTAGTAAGATGGAAGAAACTTCCACACTGTTAGAAAAAGTCATCGTCATCGTCATTGCAGATTTCTGCAATATATAACGCACCCGTTGTTAACGCTAAATTTGGCGTATTTGTAGTATTTCATGCAGATTTAAACAAAATATAGCATAAGTCTTCAATGTTGTGTGCAAATTAAACGAAGGAAGTTTACGCGATTGTTAAAGTCCGAAAAATTGGTAAATCAACGAACTAGATAAAAAAAGTCCACATTTTTTCAGTGCTTCGGAAGATTGAATCAACTTCAAGAAGTTATAAAATGAGCATTCTGATGGATCTACATGGTCACTGGATTAAAGTATTTTCCGATTACCATCCACTGTTTTTAGATATACATTTTTAAAAATGAATAGGGTTTTGAGCATTGAAGGTCCTAAAAATTTAGGTTTTGCAAGTAGATAAAAGTCTCTCAAAATAGTTTTCTCTGACATTTAGGCGCAAGAAAGCAATAATCATTTTGATTATTTAGAAAATCTTGAAAATCGTTATTCTGGAGATCCTTATCTGTATATCAGTATCAAGTACAAAAATCGGTATAAATACCGTCAAATCGGTAGATTTGACAACGCTGCCCTTCATCAGTAGTATTTTGGCTCCAGCTTCCCGCTTAATTGATCAACAAGCGGACATGCAATAGATCGGTCATATCAAGAGTAAATTTTCCTTACGTCGAAACTAACAAAGGTAAACAAAGTCGAGCTATCAGTGTCAATCGAGGCTCCTTCTGTTACACTATTTACTGTTCGAATATAGGATAAGATCCCATTTTAAAATTTATTTACCAGCCAAATTGCTTTTTGACGTAATCACCTTCCGATCAAAATATTTTTCGATGTTACTTAAGTCACCCAATTTATATGGAGATGTCGTTTGTCTTAAGTAACAGCGCAGAGAAACCCGTGAAAAGTGTACGTTCGTCGTTTCGCTTTCTCATTATTAAAGTGAATAATTCGAACTGTTTGTTGCTAAGATGATTTCGGTGGTTCTAAAATGATGAATGGGCTGCACGTAAGGAGACGTGATTGATAATTCTCCCGAATATCCTGGTAAATACACTTGGACTTAAGTAACATTAGGGTGTCATCAAACGACGTATAATAACTTTCGACTCAAAAATCAGTATTTTTAGCATGAAAGTTTGCGATCTGCTTTATATGATTATAACCCTGCCTAATATGTTAAACATTGCTATCACTATGAGATTACATGTGTTTAATTGGAAATAGGAATAAGTTTTCGTTCATCAAAACAAAACTTTAACTCGGATCGGTGCGAATGTCACTTACTGTTGTTAATGAAAATTTACTCTTGATATGGCGAACTAACTTATCCGTCAATGCTTACGCTGACTCAGCATAGAGAGCTCCATGTATCGTGAATATTTATGCAGTGTGAAAACTCATAGAGTTCTCCAGATGCACAAAAGTGTGCGGGAGACCGCGCTACCTTTTTAAGTAGTTGTGATATTGCGATACGTTTTTGGTTCTTCTTCTTCTTCATTTTTAAATATGGATGTTGGATTTTAGTGTTCGTGAGATTGCGCTTGGAGATCTCTATAGGATTTTGACAATCCTTATGTCAGAGCGTCAATGCTTCGTCAACGTCAGCGTTAACTTTGATACGATCATAATAAGGTGATCGAAGAGACGTTTCTCAGTGGAACTGACAGCTAGAAATTTAGAGTGTTAGAGTGATCTGGTGTTAATGGTGCTGAATGTAAACATAAATAAAGGAGACAAACAATTGGAGAATAAACTGTCAGTTCTACTGTGATCTGTCAAAAGTTCTTGGTAAAGAAAAAAGTCAGTTGATCGCAACTGTCTCGTGGACAGCCTTATTGACGGACTGACGCAGTGTCGATGTGAAGCCGTCAAGTAAGTGTGGCTCCGGCTTTACAGTAATACATAAGCAAATCTCATGCAATGAAAATGCAGATAGAGAGGACTTCTTTACTTCAAAGCGGGGTTCATCCGTAAAATGACAGGTGTAAAGTTGAAGTTGTTTTTTCACTAACATCACTCGTTGGCGACATAAGATTGACAGATTTTCGTTTCATCAATTTCATCAATTTTAAATGGATTCTATTGCTGACGCAGCATTGTGGCTCCCTGCACTGCTCTGATTATCTTATGTGCCTCTGAAAATGTGAAGTGGCGGAGCAGATGAAGCTTCACTAACCTTGTGCCTAAACATGAACGAACTTAGGGCTAGTGATCTGCGAGTGAGCGGATCTCAAACCTAATGGCAAAGAAGTACCCTAATAAAATTGTTATGGTTAGTTTGCTTAACGACGTGTTCCGGGTATCATTCAAACCATTTGTGGAATAGTTCAATGATTTGGGTTATCATTCGTTTATGGTATTTTTATATTAGGGTAGGTACTCATACTTATCGAGAGGGCGTTGTTGGATGACAGTTATACGAAGCAGTATTTTTGAGTCACAAACACTAGACGATCGCTAACTGAACGACGCTAATTGAAAGACTTTTAACTGAAAGTCCGCTAACTGAAAGAAGTTTTAGTTATCGAGCACTTATCTGTCAAAGTGGTGCATTTCAAAATGTCTAGATGAATCAGATGAACATTGGTGCATTTTAAAATAAATAGACACATGAAATGCATTTCAGTCAGGGAATACCGTTCGTTAGGTGAAAAGCAACATGTTTCAGTTCGCGAACGTCTAGTGTAATTATAATAGTTGAGCATCACTGGAGTTCCATGCACCGCAATTATTTTAGGAGATTCGTACCACAGTTTGAGTTAAACGACACATGCATGAGAATTGGTTGAAACGCTCCAAAGGATGGAGGGAAACCTCCTGTTTTCCTCGATGACTACGTAAACCAAGGAACGGGACCTACAGATGAGGTTGAAGGGGAAAGAGGTCTTGACACCAACCACATTGGATGACGATTTCTTGTTAGAACTAAATGACGATGACAGGTTTTAATTAATGAGCACACAATTGGAGGATTACAGCTCCAAATCAACGCCATGCATTAGTCACACCATTCTGCTTACATCCTATGGAAATGATTTTACTTTCGTTCAAACTTTGTACACGCTCTACTATATCTATGATCAGACAGGTCAAACTAGGTAGTGATGGAACTTTACAAAATGAAAAATAGAAACGATACGAGATAATAATAAGAGGAATACAAAAAGAAACGGAAATACGGATCTTACAGATCCTCATTCGCTAATAGAGTGTAGGACTTATAACTTTCCTTAGAAATCCATATCATCCAAATCTTCCTCATCCACAAAGTTTAAAGATTGACCAGTGAGACTGAAATTACCTTCGTCGAGATCGTCCTCTTCGATGAACTCGGTCGACGCCTGCACCAGGTCGTCCATGTCCAGCTCGGTTTCGAGGTCATCTTCCGACTGCGAGGTATCATCGAAATTGACCGGTGTCGTCGGAGGACCCGGCGTTGTCGTCTTCGCCGTCGTCGTTCTCCTCGGCGTAGTTGTCCTTTTCGTCGGTGTCATTTTCACTCTACCTTTCAGGACCGATGGCACTGTACTACTGCTACTGCTAGCGTTGTTGTTATTACTATTACTACTAGAGTTTTGTTGCTGTTGTTTGGCTTTCTTGTTAGCGTTATGGCCTGCTCCCCCGCCGCCACCACCCGGACCCTTTTTGGGCTTTTTATTGTTACTATTTACATTGGAAGGAGTATTTTTGTTGTTGACTTTCTTGGTCACCTTCTTCTTCGGGCCTGCCCCAGCGGGCGAAACAGCCACATTTGGTACGTTCGCTAGGCTTGTGCTTGAGCGATTGCTGCTGCTGCTACTACTACTGCTACTACTACTACTGCTACTACTACTGCTAATACTTACACTATTTGCACTGTTTGGACTGTTACTGGAACTACTACTATTACTATTACTGCTAAGACTAACAACACATTCACCATCTTCTGGGCTGCATTTTTGACTCTTCCCTAGCCCTGGGGGCCTCTTCCTACCACTATTTGTACCTATGCTACCACCTCCTTGCGGTCTAAAGCAGTGCTCTCCTGCCGGTTCGTCTTCGCGGCATTTCCGCCGCTTCTTCTTCTTCTTTCGCATGTTATCTTTGCTGTCTTTGTCTTTGTTACCACCGGCCACCGTTTGCGGTCCGGCAGAAGGATCCTTGGCCATCCCGACGACGGCCGGTTGGGCCTTGGTGGGACCGCACGTTGGGCGGGGTCGCATAGCCTTCGCCGTTAGCTCCTGCAGTGCCCGGCCTGTTTCGCACAGCTGCTTCAGGCCGTGGCGAACGTGGTTCGCCCCGAATAGTCTCGAGATCAATCGCTCAACGCGATCGTGAACTACGGTTTGGGTGAGCGCTTTCGTGTAGGTGGCCAGCTTGCCCAATGTTCGGTTGACCGGAATCTGGATCTTGCGTGGCTGGCCTGTTTTGTTCAGTGCCAAGTACAGGGTCCGTCGTGAGTTGGAGTGCTGCGTCGAGCTGTAGGTGTTGTAGTGGTGCTGCTCCATCTGCTCGTTGAAGACGCAATCGTCGGTGAAGTCTTTCTGTGTTTTGGGGGGTGGAATAAAAAGAGAAAAATTGTTGCATTAGATTTGATTCGGAGGTATGGGGCATTTCAGTGCAGATAGAACAGTCAGTTGGTCACAAAAAAAAAAACACAACATGCTTAAAAAGGAATAATATTGGCACACCGGCTAATTCGATAGATGGGTATTCTTTTAAAAATTACCACGTAGGTTATGGACAGCCTTGTAATTCGCAAAGCTCACGAAATCCCGGAACGATCAAAGCATTTGGAATGTTTGTAGAGACCTTACGGGGTTTGCCGAAAGGTAATTTTATTTTTGGTCTTCACATTTAGATATCAATTTCAGATATCTCAAAATGCTTCTTGAATTAACTTATAAGAACCCAGCCAACTTCGGAGGGCCTATGGGTTTTCAATAAAACTGGAACGCGCAAAAATTGGTCGACGAAAATATCGTTTATTTCAGTCGAAATTCATATCACAAAAATCTTCTTGTTTTTCTTTTGGTAGTTCAATTCATATATTTAAAGGAAAAACATGTTCGTTTATTCTTTTGGTTTGCCAATTCCAAACTGCCGTGCCTGCCGCTTAACCTCTTCCATTAAATTCTGCACAGTGGTCTCATCGACCTTATTCGCCGCCGAACGTCAGCTAGATTTAAACTGCTGCTCGTTTTCCATGGATTTATTACACAGATAACAATTCTGAATTTTAATTGTGATGTAAACATCCATTCACGTAAACTTGTATTTCATTTCACGCAACCGAGAAACTTGTAAACAATGTTGTTTACAAAGATGGGCTTTTGTATACAATATTTGCTACATTGCATGGAATGTGTCAGAACTTTACAAGATATATAATGTAAACGTATATGATATGTGACGCTCCATTTATGTGCATCATATTGAACAGAAATTTAAACTACTTTTTCGAACTGTGTAGTTTTTTTTTTTTAGATTCCGTTTGACCAAGGCCGTTTGGTAGGGCGGAGTTCTGGGTTGTTGGGAGGGTTGTGTTCTTTGGGTACCACAACCACGTTGTTTGCATCATACCAATCTATTGCCTTTTTCCCATAGTGGCAGCTCGCCAAGTTCGGCCAGAACAGCATAGGTCTATTATGTTGCTTTAGGAATGGTAGCAGCCGCTTTTCCAGGCACTCCTGAACGTAGATCTCTTGATTGATGGTTCCCGTAGTAATGAAAATGCCGCTTTTTAGATCACAAGATATTTTTTCGGGAACTTCGATAGTTTGATGGTTTTGAAAATTTCAGCCACCTTCCCTTTTCCTGGTGCGGTATAAAACTCCTGTCCCAAAAGCTGCTTGAAATCCGTCTTCACATAAGTTTCGTCGTCCATGACGACACAGTCGAACTTTATGAGCAGATTCGTAAACAGCTTTCGGGACCACTGCTTTGCCGACGTGTTTTGTTTGTAATCTCGGTTCACCACCTTCACCTTCTTAAGCGTCGACAACCCGGCTCGTTTCTTGGCCCGCTGCACAGTAGTATAGGAGACATTGAGCTTGCCAGCGACGTCCCGGATGGAGAGGTTAGGATTCTGCTTATATTTCACCGCCACCTTCTTCGTCGTCGCTGCCTCGTCCGGATTACGATTGCTGCCGCTTCCAAGCTTCTTGGCGGTCGACAGATGCTCCCCGAACACTTTAAAAACATTTGTCACGGTCGATTTGGCCACATCCAGCAATTTTGCCAACTTGGCGTGTGAGAACGCCGCATTCTCTTGCTGCGCGAGCAAAATTTTGACACGCTCCTCCTCTTGCTTGGACGTAATTTTGAAAACTGGAGAGCAAACGGTGAAAACTCATCATAGCAACCATTGACTTCTTGCCGCAAGATTTCACCAATACAACATTGCTAGTGTAGCCGTGTAAAACCGATTTGTTTATTATTTTCAACCACGAAATCAGCTGTCAAAGTGTTCGACGTGGCAGCGGTTTGTTTTTTTTTTTATTTTCAACCAGTAAAACGCTTGATTAGTGAAACTGCTCACTAATACCAACAATCAATACGAAACTAACGATTTTAAATTGGCTCACCACTTTAGTAGCCTATTGGTCCCAAGCAAACGATTAACGTACCCTATTCTAGTCGAAATTCTAGTACTACGCAATGTTTGTTTTGATTCGCTATGAAAGTTTGACAGATAAAATGAGGGGTTATTGGTTTTTCCTATGTTTCGAGGGGTGATTCGACAAGCTTGGGACCGAAGATAGTACCAGAGGTGAGCCAAAAAGTTGAGCACGTTTCTTTGGGACCTACTTGTCTTAGAGTTACCTCTATGCTAATACCACAAACGAAGTGACAGACGGAGCGGCTCGAAATTTGATTTGACGCACTTACATTTACAATTTTCGAGTGTACCTCACGGCAACACTATCTACTCATATGTACTAGATTAAACTAGGGGGTACCGCCTGTTATCTCTTTTTCTCTAACGAAAATTGAAAGGGAGAGCCTGTTGTCAAACAGCATGTCATTATATCGCTTCTTTTGTATAATGAAAGACCATAGGCCAAAATGATTAGGGATGAACACATCGGGTTAACATTTGCTTACAAGTAAACGATGTTGAGCTGTCAATGACTCGCGCTTGTTGCAATTGTTGCTACAGATTTCTTCAGTCCGTGCTAGAAGCCTAAGTCACAGTCATTCGCGACCGAGAAGACATAGACATCGTTGTTGGACACCAAACAGAACCCGGCCATACTCGGTATGCTGGTATACATTCACTCCTCCGTAGCGGAACTGGAAGGATCCACCCAAGCTGCCGGATATCAGTTTTGTCTGCTCCAGCTTCTTCTTATTATTCTGCAGAACCAGACAGTGCGAGTACTGGTCGTGTTTGCCAAACCAACCGGTGGAATACTAATCTGAAAGCCGATTTCTTAGGCACGTTGCATTTGTCGCAGTAGATCGTCACTTGCCGCTGCACTTCCATGGAGCGGATTACAATCGCCGTGGCAGTAGTTTCGTCGTACAGATCGATCACTGGATCGATATCAACCCGATAGGTATGGCCGGCATACTTCGCGTAGTGACGCTCGCTCATGTCACGGGGAGTCCTTTCCGAACAGGCGGCGCATTGAAACTTCTGTACAAATCGATCGGGACATAGGATTTGATGTCACGCTTTTGTCTCTTGCTGCCTCGACTGCTCAGCCTCTTCTTATTCATCATTCCAAACATTTTCCGGTACGGGTGCGGGTAGTGGATGTCCCTGTCGAATTGGTTGATTAGACGAGATCATCGTCATCGACAAGTACCAGTTATTAAACTTTCCAGTTATCATGCAGATGAAGTTTTCAACGGAGTAATCTCTTCCACCTATGCAGCACAAGCTCGGTTAACAATCTGCGGCAAGTTTTTACGTCGAAGCAAATGGGAAATTGGAATTCAATCTGAAATTGAAAACCAACCCTAATAAAATTGTTATGGTTATTTTGCTTAACGACGTGTTCGGGGTATCATCCAAACCATTTGTTGAATAGTTTTATTATTTGGGTTTTCGTTCATGTATGGTAGTTTTTTATTAGGGAAACAGTAAAAAAAAGTTGTTGAATATTACAGCAGTTAAGCTGTACATAACATATACACATTAATCCAGTCAGTAATGTTTTACTGGGTTTTTGAATTGCGGACTGTTCGAAAAAAGTTTAAAACTCTGCAGGAAATTCAAAAATATGAAACTTTTTCTGAACTTGTACAGATAAAGTTCTGTTAATCTCATTTCTTTTTTTTCCTTTGATTTGTTTTTCGTCGATCTGGTTTTCCAGTGAGCACCAATGCTACCGATGCCAGCACTGATAAAAATCCCCTTATACCTTTTGGCAAATTTCCATTGCTGATTATTAATAAAATGTATAAGGCTACCACCAACCAATTTGTTCCGAACGGCCGGAAGACCAAGCTGAGGCATGGGATGCTCATTATGCCCCACTTGTTCACTATGCCCCTCTCATAAAATTCACTATGCCCCTTCCATAAAATCACAACGAAAATCATGGTATATGAGAAATGTACAATAAAAAGCTGCATGGCACAGTTTGCCCAATCGGCGGGGTACTTTTTCAAGTGCCCTTTGTGCAACAACAAGGACGACTTTAGTCAGCAGATGCAGCAGCGTGGCATTTATATTGCACTGCCACGAGGAACTTCCGTCGAAAACTTCGAGGAACTTCCGTCGAAAAATTGCTTCGAGACAAACCGGTCGTATCAAATCGTTGACTTCTTCGGATCCAGGATCGCGTCAAGCGGTTGGGTTCCAAACTCAAGGAACTACTCATCCTTCCCATTTATGCCAATCTGCCGTCGGACATGCAGGCGAAAATTTTCGATCCAACTCCACCGAACGCCCGGAAAGTCGTACTGGCCACCAACATCGCCGAGACATCACTAACCATCGATAACATAATGTACGTGATCGATCCGGGCTTTGCAAAGCAAAATAATTTTAACTCCAGAACCGGGATGGAGACCCTGATGGTCGTGCCCATTTCGAAAGCGTCTGCCAATCAACGTGCAGGTCGAGCAGGGCGCGTTGCCCCTGGCAAGTGCTTTCGTCTGTACACAGCCTGGGCATACAAACACGAGCTGGAAGACAACACCGTCCCGGAAATTCAGCGCATAAACCTGGGCAATGCCGTGCTAATGCTCAAAGCTCTTGGAATCAACGATTTGCTTCATTTCGATTTCCTCGATCCTCCACCACATGAAACGTTGGTTTTGGCATTGGAGCAACTTTACGCCCTAGGGGCATTGAATCACCACGGTGAACTGACCAAACTTGGACGACGGATGGCGGAATTTCCGGTCGATCCCATGATGGCAAAAATGCTGCTTGCTAGTGAAAAGTACAAATGTTCCGAGGAGGTGGTGGCCATCGCTGCAATGCTATCGGTGAATGGAGCCATCTTCTACCGACCGAAAGATAAAATCATCCACGCAGATACGGCCCGGAAGAACTTCAACCACATGCACGGGGACCACTTGAGTT